TTATCCAACTTTTTACGGTGTGGAACATTTAACAACTTTCAATTAAGTCGTAATCAAATGTGACATTATGACTAAACGATTAAGTTACTACTCCCATTAAGTACGTACATTAAGTCAGAAGTAAATAGCTAGCCCCTAATTAATTGATGAATATTGTAATTTGTTTTAGTTTTAGTTTTAGTTTTAGAACCCGTTTGGTAGCACGAAAATCGGCTGTTTTGGCTGATTCTGATGAAATTTATGAAGTTCTGGCTAAAGTGGCTGCTTTGGCTGTTTCTGCTGATTTAAGTAAAAATTACTTTTAAAATATATGTTATTAATAAAATAAAGAAAAAATTATATGTAAAATAGCTAAAATGGTCATCTACAGCAACTTCAGCCAATACAGCAAAAAAAGTAACTCTAACCTTACTTTTTTTGCTTATTACACGATTCAACGCGCGAAAGTAAAAGTTGCGTGTTTGGTAAAAAAGTTGGCTGATAAGCCGAAAAAAGATGTTGCCAAACGGGTTCTTAGCTTGATTGAGCTTTCAATTCTATCCAAAATTAAACAAGGCTATATGAGAATTACGTAGTAGTTCTTTGAATCTATTAAATTTCATTTCACCTTAAACACCAACGATCGAACAGTGGTAACTAATTTGTGCACAAAACTTTCTCTGAGACAGGAGGTAATACACCCTGCCGTGTGTCCGGTTTTCCAGACTTTTGATTAGTCCTTTCAGCTGGTACGTAATTATATACCAATCAAAGATGTGAATGAGCTTCAATTCAGTATTCAGTAGCTAGAAGTTCTGATCACTTTCAAGTACGTAGGTAGTTTGACCAGATTCTTTATATATGCATGTATGACCAGATTCACTTTCTAGTACGTACAATTTCTGCAAAAACTAGGACTACTATTTCATTGAAAATGTATGAAGTACGTCCCGATTAGGTTGACCAAATTTCCTTTTTTAAATGTCCCAAAAAGCTTCGTCATTTCCATTTAAAGTAAAAAATATGTGGTTAAAGTTAATTCTCTCTCTTCTGCACAAATTTCAGCCACACAATTTTTAGTTTATTAATCCGAAAGTCAACTTTGGCCAACCTTTCCGGGATGGAGGAGGTATAAATAATAGGCCCTAAAGCCTTAAGCATATGCTTTAAGATTATTAATTAAGATTATCATTGCTAAAGAGAATTTAATTGTACACCCTAAATATTTTGGGTAATACAAGTGCTAGACATTAATCAGTTTAATGTATTCAGGAAAATCAGTTTATACATACACCACGTACAATAATTCAAAAATAAGATGAGTTACACACATTATATTAACTTGTAACGAATGGAATGTCTTTTTTCCCACAAATATGGGGTGCAAAATTAAGTCACCATTATTGTCATCATCATTTTTACTATAACCATTGTTATTGTTATCATATTTATAATTTTATTACATCGTTCGTTCCATTTCAGTAATATTATAGATTAAAATAAATATTAATGAAGTTAAATTTATTTCGGTCATAATAATATCAAATCATGTTATTATTAAGAATTTCAATTTACGTAATCAGAAATTACAACTTTACTGACCCTTTTTTGAAAACAGCTTTACTGATCCTTATGAAATACTCCGTACTACGTAAGAAGTATATCTGAATCAGTGGCGGATCTACGCTTTACATTTTGGGTGTTCGGACCTAAGTTAAAATTAAAATTATTGCAATAATCATACTCAATGTTAATTATTACAAATTAATTCATCAAAAATCCTACTATCAAATAAAGTACTAAATTAAATGTCAAACACAATTTCTGTACTGCACTATCTAGTACCACTGTTTAGATCAAAGCACTAGATTGTGGAATGAACTGACAATTGCCAATACTAAATTAAATACTAAAGTATCACTTGCGAATGAACTGACAATTGCCAAAACTAAATTAAATGCCAAACACAATTTCGGAAGATCGGAAACGCAAGTTTGGACTTAGCTTCTACCTTGGGATACAACTGGCTGAGTATACTACATAGTACTAAACGGTGGAAAGTTCTGGGTGTTCAGGTGAACACCCTTGAACAATACACCGTCCACCACTGATCTGAATATGTTAAAAGTTTTATACATTGTATCTAAAATGATAGACTAGAAATGGTTGTTTTGGTAGATCCATGTGAATAATAAGAGTGACAAACAAAACCGAACAGAGAGAATTAATATTCTTTTAGGTTCTCGTATATCTATGTTGCATCTATCCCTTTAAACGATTTCGTGCTACAATCCTGTCAGGCTGGCCTAAAAGAACCCGCCGTCGAACCAAAGTCATTTGGAGGCTTTTTTAGTGAATTTTTTTGATAAAATAATTTGAATATGTTCTTCATCAAATTGAGTTTATGTTCACCATATTTCAGTTTAAAGTTCAATCGGGAAGACAGTTTGTGGCAATTCAAGGAGGAGGGGAGAGTTTTAAAATATGTGAAAAGCAGATCTTGATAGCAAAAAATGGCTACAATCTACGGCTCTACCTGACTCTCAATTCTCAAATACGGGTGACCCAATCAATTAGGACCAAAAAAGTTGATGTTTGACCATTTATGTTCACTCATAATCACACAATCCAGCCAGACCATGACCCTCTCATGATAGATGAGTTGAATGTGATTGTTATTCTTAATTGATGATAAACGAATGAGCGAAATATAATGGAAAAATTCAAAAAAGTAATCTCAATTATTGCCGGTACGCTGAAAATAATCTCAACTATTGATTATTTTTGTATAATCTCAACTATATCGACTATCTGCCAATAATGGTCCATGACATATATTACCTCTATAAAAAGTGAATTTTAAATATAAATTAAATGTAAAAATTAAAAGTTGAGATTATTTGTAGGGATTGCTTGTTATATCTCATCTCATCCACTTTAGAAACTACAAGAATTTATTTATAGAAACCATTATTGACGGAATATCCCTAAAGTTAAGATTATTCTGTAATAATCAATAGTTGGAATTATTAGGAGCGGAATTATTACTATCAATTTTTCCAAATATAATAATTAATTAATGGGTGGATGCGAGTGAACTTTCACCCGGTATAAATTCGATCCGTTGTCACTATCAAAGTCAGATTGAGGCTCCAGCTCGGTGTGGGTGGGGTACCCCGAAAGCCGCTGACTCGCCTTTTTGAAGTCACGTTCTGGAAAACCGAATGGAAAAGTTTTCTATCCACATTCCAAAACGATGGATTCCTGAATTGAAACGTGGGGAGCTCACAGGAATTGCCCCAAGCGGCCAATACCTACGTTACCTATGTTATTGACACGCAGGACCTCAAGCAGGCCGCATATAATTGAGCTTCACATCGATCTGCTGGATATGTGATAAACATAAGATAATCCCAAATAGGAACCAAATTATTTCAAGATTATTTTTAATTTAGTATTAATTGGTGAGTGCATGACTCACAAAAGATCTGATATTTTGAGATGATGAATGGTGTGATTTAAAAGGTGTGAGAATATTTTGAAAAAAATTTACGTGTCACTAAAAAATCTGTTTGTTTAAGTAGCATGAATGTCGATGTTCTAAGACCTATTTTTAGACTTCCCTAAAAAAAAAAGACCTATTTTTAGACACACTTTTTAAATCTCATGGATTTGATTGACATAAAAAACGGGCATTAAACCAATCCACATAACTCTAATTTCTTTGATAGTTTGATGCATTGTATTGGGCTTCGATTTGGTCATACGTTGATTCCCCTTGTTTCCTGGAAAATAAAAACCATCTAGGCACACGGTAGACAACTAAATCAAAATATGGAGCATGTACTTTTTAAGGTATTAATAAAGTGTAAAGTGGAACGCATGCGCCATGCATAGACTGATAGACTTGTGGAGTCGTTCCTACGTAGTCTATAGAGACCATTAATGAGATATGATTTCAAATTCACACTTTGCAGAAATTCCATCTGGGGTCAATTTGTTAGGGGGTCACTATGTGATATACCTCTTCCTCCTAACATTAGGGCATGAACTAATGGTGTAATAATTAAAAAAAAATGAGTTGATGAGATTGATATTGAATTGTTAAAGTAAGAATAAAGTAAAAAGAAAATTATCCTAAATAGGATAAAAAATGTTTGTATATTCCAAAATAGGACAATCATGTTTTTATTCCAAAGTAGGACCAATTATATGGTTGTCATATTTTGGTAGTATCAGACTTTAAACATGACAATATTTTCCAAACATGACAATAATTACTCATATTTTAGGAATAAAAATATGAGAGCCCTATTTTGTTTTCAAATTTGGTATGAAATCATCTTAATTGGACAGAAGAAAAAGGAAAAATAAAACAATGCTCCATTACAGTGCTCCATATGGAGTTGATCACTTAAATGATCACAAACATTAATCTTATAACCATCGGATCCATATTTTAGTTTAAAAATTATGCTATGCGACACAAATGTCGAAGTTTTCAACATAACATGCTGACATGCTCACTACAAGAATTTAAGGATTTTAGTGACGGAAAGTTTGTCAATGAATCTGTCACTAACATAGATAATGACGCCTATTACTGACGAAACTTTTGTCATTGAAATCGTGCTGCTAAATACTTCAGTGGCGAACTTTCATTTCTGTCACAAATTGAAGACGGGAGTTAGTGACTATACATTCCGCCACTATTATTAGTGACAAATAATTCGCCACTATATGCTGCTACTAAAATAGTTATATTTAAAAACAAAATAACAAATACAGAGTAGTTTGCTCCTTTTTAATATTTTTATGCCATTAAATTTTTTAAAAGTTAATATGTCAATTCAATTATATAACAACATAATGTACACAAGGCATTATAACTAAAACATTAATAATTAAACAAAGATATATAGGTAGGCAAAAACTTGATACATGCTCCATTAAAGTCATACTTGAACGAATGAGGTAACAAATACCAGTGAATACTTAAAAGTCATTGTACCATAAGTACAAGCCTTACTACAATCCAAAAATACACCCAAAATACTTGCATATCTATTGGAAAATAACTACTGCTGAATGTTTTGGGAGTCTTGAGATGATGATGAATTAGTGAACTCAAAAAAACTTGGTACTTCCATTCCAAGTGACTTCAAAAATGGAAGCCATGTTTCCTCAAAAGATTTTGGTTGTGAGCAAGGATCTTCATGTAGCAAACTTTCATCCACAAGTGGCATTACTGGTGGACATTCCTCTCCTTGTGAAGATAACCATTTCCGCATATGTTCATCCCAAAACACACAAAATTCAAGTGCACGTTGTGAAGATAAAGAAGTCTTTCGGTGAGTTGATTGGAGTTGATGAAGGAATTCTTCTGCATACTTTCCTAGTCCAAATATTTTTTTGTTCTTGCCTCCAGCAATTTCCAAATATTTGGAATGCAAATCAGGAAATGCAGCTTTGGATGCATTATTGGAGCCTCCAATTTCAGCTTCAGATTGTTGAGTTTGCTTTACGTGTTCTTTAAATGCAGCAGATAACTTCTCAATGGCCTCCTGTATTCATACAACATACTTTAATAGCAAACAAAGTCTTATAGCATTAATAGTAATACAGTTTGATTCATACTAAAACTGTTTGAAGCAATATATAATACTACGTATAATATAAGACTTAATAGTAAAACAGTCCACTTAATGGTCGTATCTTCTTGAAAACAGAAAAAAATTCTCCCAAACACAAAGAATAAGGACTGCAGCTTATGGAATATCACATTTGAGAATTCAGAATAACGTCTGACTTGATGAACAGAAAAAGTCATTCACAGAAGATATAAACAACATTAAGTACCCCAAACTTAATTAACTACATTCTTGATAACTAAAGGGTGTAATTCATTCCAGACTTAAAAGTATTTTTATTTTAAGCATTTGTTTCAAAGTAGCTTGAAATCTTTATATAATTCTGTAGCAGAATTCCTTTAATAAGGTCCATTACTTTTTCACAAAAATGACAGAATATAGAAGGGCTTTCACACTTCATTATGACGAATGACAGAATGAACCACTGCGTGTGTAAAGTTAAAAAAGTTACTGAAATTCTAATAAAAGTAAAAAAGATGGAATCATTCTACTAAAACTGCAAAGCGGGAATCTGTGAGCCAGGGTACAACATTACATTTGATCCCTAAGGAAGGTAAAACCTAGAATAGAGAAGCAATACACACCATAATTTCTGAATGTGACGTATGATCAATCAGCTCTCCATTCTTTCTCTGTTTCGGATGGTATGTCTCACAAATTTTGAGGGGATTAATTTCTTCCCCCAAAATCCTCTCCTACAAAAAAATATAATGAAACTGTGAACTAGTGGAGAACTACATTACAAAAATACATTATAAAGTTTTAGAATTCAACCTCCTGCGCAGCCAAATCAATTGCGGACCTTGATCCTCCATATTGTTTACATTTATCCCCACCGGCAATCCGATTTTTTTTACCGGACTCAGACGACCTTTGAAATGTCTTAGACTTATTATACTCTTGCACAACGGCCCAAGTGAAGTTATTCACAGTCAAAGGCCGCTTTTTCCTTGAATATTTAAAAATGATGTACCATTAAAAAAAATACATTTTGAAAGAAACTCAAATATTAAACGAAATAATACTTAACGTACTCACCTGATTTGAGAAATGATATTCGAATAAGCACGTTTCTTTACATATTCCGGACCAGTTAACTTGCAAAAATCATTTGACGACCTTCCCGATTGAGTTTTTGGCTGATTTTTTTTGTGGATAAACTAGACTTGATGGAGAACATGCCATAAAAATTTCATCAAAAAATTCCACCGGGAAGGCGGCCAAACGCCGCCGGCCGGACGGCGGCTCCTGTCCGGACGTCTGGACAGGATCTTTTCTATACTAAATAGTATATATCATATAAATAATGCTAAAAAGTATACTACTTTTTTAGGCCTAAAACTAAATATAGGCCTAAACCTGTTTTTGGAATTTGGATTCTGGGACGATTACTACTTTTTATTATGTGTACCCGTCCCCGATCTGCCCCGTTGCCATCACTAGAACAATTCACATACGATCTTCAAAGAAAAAAGATTCACATAAAAAATGCACAACAAAAATAAAATTGGTAACAAGAGACGGTGGGGGTAGTGAACCTCAATCACAATTAATATTTTCTTCGTGATCACTATCATTTTCGTCATCATCACGCTCCATGTCATATGCTCCATCTAATGTATCATCCATATTCTCTGGAGCATTAAACGCAACTGAATGATCATCACAGTCATCGATGTGTAATTGACCATAATTTGGAAATGGTTGTTCATCTAACTCTATTTGGAATGAATTCCTAGGCTCGTCTTCTTGAAACGCTGAGGGGTGTTCATCTTCATGTGTCAAATTTTCTCCCAAATCTCCCTCGACAAAAGCCCGTGGCATGCACTGAACAACAGAAAGCCATCTATTGGCTCGTTTATTTGTACTAGGATATGGCACATACACAACTTGATCTGCCTGTGATGCTAAAATATAGCAGTCTGAAATACGAAGTCGGTGTTGTGTGTTCACATCCACTATGTTGTATAATGGATGGCGTCGTGTGCCTCTACTTGAAGGTTCAAACCATTCACACCTGAAGACGATTATCTTATAATCTTGATATTCTAGCTGAATTATTTCATGTATTAAACCATAATAGTCAAGCTCTGAACCATCATAACTTGTGCACTTGACCATAACCCCACAATTACAGGTCACCCTCCCTTCAGATCGTGCAGTAGTGTTGAACTTATAACCATTTATATGAAGTGTTTGGTATGTCGTCACGTATGGAGCAGGAAATCCAGCTAAAGCCCGAATCCATCGTGGGTGATCTATAATGTCATTTCGCACCTAAAGTAAATACATATGTTTAATATATGTTAGCCAGAACTATATATCCAAAACAAAATATAGTATATTAACTAAATACAATAAATTCTAAACTTTGAACTCTCACATAGTGATAAAACCAGAGCGGAAATTGTGCTTGAAATTGAAGTTCATCGGAGGTTGTCAATCCGGTTGCATTCGTGAACAATCTGCAACAAAATGGCTATAATATTAGACTAGAACTGTTATAATTTGAGTTAAAGAAATCAATAGTTAGTTAAATATGGCTTACTCTCTAAATGAGTCGATCTCTAGGCAATTTTGTAGTACATAGGAATGCACTGCATTGGTTTCGTTTTGGTCCATGTATCGACGTGTGCTTGCACCAATTGCTTTTGCCTTTTGTGCAAAAATGGAAGCAGGGACATCATCATTAATCATAAAACCGTCATCAAATCTCGGGACACCACGTGCTTTTGTGGTGACTTCCTCTGGGAAGTAGTAACTCGCAAATGTACCCATTTCACTTAGCAAATAACCCTCTCTAATTGAGGCTTCAACTCTAGCCTTGTTGCCGATCTTTTTCTTTAACACTGACCCTAAAAAACTGGTTAAATATGATCAATTAAGATTAAGAGTATCAATAACACAATACTATATTATTATGAAAAAAAAGAATATGAACACTAACTTTTCGAAGCGATACATCCATCGATATTGCGGTGGTCCGCCTAGCAAAACTTCATCCGGCAAATGTATGGGAAGATGCTCCGTCGGGTCAAAAAATGAGGGAGGGAAAATCTTCTCCAATTTACATAAAATGATAGGAATATCATCCTTTAGCTTTTCAATGACAGAAACTCGTGCAGTCTTTCTTGTTAACTCACGAAAGAATAAACTAATCTCAGTAATTGCCTCCCAAATACAAGCAGGTAGCATTTCTCTCAATGCAATTGGAAGTAGACGTTGCATAAAAATGTGACAATCATGACTCTTCATACCGAATACCTTAAGGTTCTCCATTTCTACACAACGTCCTAATCGAGATGCAAATCCATCGGGGAACTTAAGTGAATCAACCCAACTGCACAAAACTTCTCTTTGCTTGTTTGAAAGCACAAAAGGAGCCTTGGGATATTTTCCATCACGGTCCATCTCCATACTTGGTCTATGACAAATTTGTTCCATGTCCATTCTCCCTCGTGTATGGTCCTTTGACTTCCCTGGCACACCCAAAATTGTGTAGAATATGTTCTCAAAGAAATTTTTCTCTATGTGCATTACATCAAGATTGTGGCGCAGAAGCAAATCCTTCCAATACGGAAGATCCCAAAAGATACTACGTTTCTTCCACCCAATATTCTTCCCAACCACTTTGTTGTGTTCCAAACTGCCTAATTCGGTCACAGACATTAGGGCATCCATCTCACCATAACAATATAAACCATCTCTATATAATGGAGGGCCATACATGACTGTTTTACCCTTAGTGAAGTTCTCGATGTCCCATCGAAATGGATGATCTTCTGCTAGGAACTTTCGGTGGTTATCAAACCAACTATGTTTCTTGCTGCGGGGTAACCAGAATGCTTCTGTAAATTCAGTACAACACGGACATGCAAATTTCCCTTTTGTACTCCATCCAGAGAGCATGGCATATGCTGGAAAATCACTAATTGTCCAAAGCAAAGAAGCTCGCATATTAAAGTGCTCCTTTGAAAGTGCATCATACGTTACAGTCCCAACCTCCCATAATTGCTTCAACTCTTCTATCAAAGGTTGCAAATAAACATCTATCCTATTTGTGGGATTCTTTGGCCCTGGAATCAATATGGATAAGAACAGAAATTGTTCTTTCATACATATACCTGGAGGAAGGTTGTATGGTGTCAAGATAATAGGCCAACACGAATACTTCTGTCCAAATTGTCCGAATGGTTGAAACCCATCTGAGCATAGACCGAGTCTAACATTTCTAGGGTCCTCGGCAAAAGATGGATAAACATTGTCAAAATGAATCCATGCCTTCCCATCTGATGGATGTCGCATCACTCCTTCTTCTCTGTGGTGACTTTTATGCCATCTCATATCCCCAGCAGTTGTATTTGAGGCATAAAGCCTCTGTAGTCTTGGAGTAATCGGAAAATACTCCATCCTAGAAAGCGGGATTGGTTTACTTGACTGATTATTGACCTCATACCTTGCACTAGAGCAAAATCTGCACTCGATTAGTTCACTGTCTGCTTTCCAATAGATCATGCACCCTTTTGGACAACAATCAATAGATTGATGAGTCATTCCTAATAGTGAGAGTTTCCTTTTTATTTTCTTGAAATTCTGGATGGGCCGATTGGAGATATGTGTTGGGAAAAACCTATTCACAAGTTGAACAATTCTGTCAGTGGCAGCCTCTGATAAATTCATCTCAGTCTTTAAGTTCAACAATTCAGTCATGGCACTCAACTCCGTCATGGGACAACCATCAAAACATGGTTGACTTGTCGCAGCAAGCATTTCATACATGCTCTTTGTCATTGGATTAGGCTCCTCATCGTCAACATGCATATCATCAGGCGTACCTATAGGAAACTCATTCCTAACAGCGTCTTCAAACATTGATTTATATGGGTCATATGGAACTTCAGATGTATTATGACGGGAAGAGCTACCTTCATCCAAATAAACCAGCCCATTTGAATTATATGTCTCTCCGTGCGCTCCCCATACATAATAGTCTTCAACAAATCCTTTTTCAAAAAGATGTTGTTTAACAATATCCCAAGTCAACAATTTTCTGTTCTTGCACTTTCTACACGGACATGCAATCACCCCACTTGGATATAAGTTTACCGCCTTCTGAATAAACTCATTAACTCCTTTTTTGAAGTCTTCATTTAGAAACCCTCGATTTCCGAGTCTTTCATACATCCAAGACCTATTATTGCTCATTTTGAAATCTAAACATATAAAATGATACGGATTATTAAATATTATTTCTTCACTTCACATAGTAAACGAAATTAATTTAAGGAATTTTCAGTAGCTCGTGACTAAATTTATTAATAATAGATCAACAACTTCAATTATTTCTTTCAATTAATATAAAAATAAACAATAACCAACAATGTTTAAATTTATTATTGTTCTTAAATTTCTTTGAAATTTTCCAACATATTTAAAAAGCTAGCAACAAAAACACGTACAAGTATTATAATATTTGTTAAAAATGGTGTCATTGCATTTTAGCATCTACAAGGACCAAGCACATAGTACATATGTCATTTGTCTTCATAAATTAATCATAAAATAAATAGATCGCAAGAGGCTAACAAATAATGTAATAATAAGTTTACTTAAATAGTAATTAATTAAGAATCAGCTCAAAAAAAGACATAAGATTAAATTTTAATTAAGCCAAAAAAAACTTACCTCTCTCGTATGGACATGGCAGATCGAAGAGAGCTTGTAGACAAAGAAAATGGTAGATGAGATATTTGTGCAAAATGAATTTGGTTGGTGGGTGCAATTTAATATTTGTAATTCAATGACAGAGTTTAGAGACGGATTAATTCCGCCATTGTTTTGTGACGAAATTTCAGCCACAAAAATCAGCTAGCAATTATTGTCTAAGATGGATTCGCCACTAAAATCTGTCGCTGAACAGCGACACAGTACATCTGTCACGCATTTGTGGGGCATAGTTATTTGTCTTTAATTTCCGTCATAAAATCGTGTCAGATGTTATTTCGTCACTAAATTCCGCCACAATTTTCCGGAATTCTTGTAGTGGCTCAATGGCTCAGTATACCTTTCGCTCCATAATACTATGTACTACGTATACTAATTACTCTCTTTAAGAATACATAATATATACCTCATAAGTCATACGGAGTATGTCATCACAAAAAAAATATGGGATTGACACGAAATTTGACACGGATTTATCGATTTTTCGTGCCAAATAGTTCGTGCCAAAGTGTTTTTGTCACCGATTTGACATATCCTTGTCAAAATCCCTGCTAAATCCTTGTCAAAATCCGTTTCAATCCCATGTAGTACTACGTATTAGATATCTACTATCTTTCACTCTCGCTCCTTAACCCCATTCCCCCTCCTATCATAGTTCGATTCTCTGATTAAAAGAAATTTAATCAACGACTACCATATTGTCAAAAAACAATTGTTCTAAAATTTAGTTCAGGCCCTCAATTGACTGAGATTAGACATGCCACATAAAAGAAATTTTCACGTTGATTTTTTATAACGAAATCTTGAACACAAACATGGTACTACAACTAATTTAACTCAAAAGATCAATTTGATTTTGATTAGTAAGCAGATATATCATTCATAAAGTAGTTATATATATTTTTCTACAAAATTTCGAGAATATAAAGTAGTTATATTTAACTACTTTATCTCCAACTTCGTAGTTATATTTATTATCTTAATCCAAAATGGTTGAATCGCTTACCTCGGATGCCCCCACACTCCACCAGAATAATACGGTATATCTCAAAGAACTTCTAAGTGAATAATACGGAGTACGATAGTATAAGAATAACTTTATAATAAAAATTTCCTAAAAAACAAAAATGAGAACTTTGATTTGGACCTGCCAAAAAGAAAAGTGACAGTTTTGTTTGATGAGAAAGTTCCCGAAATAGAAGCAAACATCTTTTGAAATTTTAAAATGGGGTTAGTATATATTCTGTCCAAAATAAAAAAAAATATGACAATATTTATTACTCCTACCATTTTGGAAACATTGCTGTCAAAATAATTACAACACTGGACATTGACAATGTAATATTTATTGCTAAAAATGATAGATCTTTAAATTATAGTCACTCCTATTTCGGAAAGAAAAACATAACAACATTAGAATTCTAAAACATGGTCACTTCAATTTATATTAGGATAGTTTTATCCTCTTTTACATGGGAAAGACCACATGTACCACGTTGCTTTTATGTGGTACACAACTAATGGTCTATACCTAATTCACTCATCTTTAATTTACTCATCTGGCCTATCTCTAAATCATTCATCTTTTATGTGGTACACAACTAATGGGCTTATCCCTATCGTTTTGGAATACGATGTTATCCCTAGATATTAGTAGTTCAAGTAAAAATATGTATTAGAACTTTAAGAATATTGTTTTCTATCTTCATTATCCAAGAATTTTGAGTGCTTACACTTTTAATTTCAAAAATGTAGTTGTTTGACTTGTTTCTCATTTTAAATTAATGACTTATTAAATATATTTATATTTCGAAAAACACTAGTATATATGAGACAAAGTATGAATTTATATCTAAGTGTCTTGATAATGTAAAATGTTTCAATCTCATGAATGAGTAGATGTCAGAGAATAATATATGTACTCCGTATATATTTTCAAAAAAAAATTGTAATTTTAATATTTATAAATATACCCCCATAATTTTTTAATATTTATAGATATACCCCATGACTTTTACAAATATTTATAAATATTTTTTTTGTTTTGTCGAATCCCTATATCCGTATCTGCGTATCAACGTTTCCTGTACCCATATCGATGCTGCATAACCCTAAGTCCTCTATTGTGCACGACCAAGAAAATTGTACCCGGCTTTTATCGTGGAGCCAGCGAAGTTTTTAGAAAGAAGAGCTTCCATTAGCAATAAATAAATAAAATTTGCTTCGAATTCCACCAATAATATATTCATGATGGATGATGATACGGTCTTCACATGCACGCACTAGTGGATGAGACAACCTTCGATACGTACTAATCATATCTTATTGACCAGGAGATCACAAAAAAGACACAAAAATAGTAAAGAGAATCTCCTTTAGTTAGAAAATTATTACTCCGTATATATTTTGTCAATTCAATCAACTACTGCGGGCCTCATTAGTGAATCAACATTACAACTACATAGTTAATACGGAGTAATACATTAAACAACAGGTAATAGTTTAGGAAATTAATAAATATAATTTCCTAATAATAATAATTAGAAGAAGGGTAGAATTAATTATTGGGAGCTAAACTATGCAGGTGAAATTTTCTGAAAGCGGAGGAGCCTATTATCAGCGAGGCGAGAGTTGTAGGCAGATTTTTTGTAGTCGGACCAGGTAAACTCCTTGTACAAACTGTCTTCATCTCCTGCCATTAGTGATGGTAATGGAGCGATCTTTTCACTCAAGGGTGGCCCTCCGAAATAAATCATTGACAGCCTTGATTTTGCACTATTTGCCAAAACCCTATGCCTCACGCTCTTAAACCTCCCATTTGTCATCACCTACAAATCAAAACAAACCACCCCATCACATATACATCGTATTATCATATACCGACATTAAAACGGGATGAACTAAATATGAAAAATGTAACAATATATACTAAAGAAATTGAATAATGTAATGTTGTTTTCGGCTTCAGCTCACTATAGCTGATCCTCCCTTGATTACGTAGGGGTCAGACTAAGGGAGTGTTTGCAACAGCTTCTGCTTTAAAAAAAGCACTTTTGGAGTGATTTGAAAAAAGTGATTATTTGTAAAAGTTGATAGTGTTTGAGAAAAAAGTGATTTTGAAAAGTAAAAGTTGGTAGTGTTTGGTAAAATAAGTGCTTTTGGTGTATAAAAAGTGGAAAAGCACTTTTGACACGAAAGCCGAGAAAAATAAAAAATTGGTAGTGTTTGGTAAATAAGTGCTTTTTTAAGCCAAAAGCTGAGAAGTGCTTTTTTTAAAGTGGTTGCAAACCAGCCTTAAGCATCACGTTGAAATTTGCACTACTCGTATATATCACTTCAATTACATTTTATTCATTAATGTATTAATCTTCTTATAAAAAAGTGCTCGGTCAATCGAATTTTTAATTTTTTTTTACTAATATCTAGTTAGATATATAAATAGTCAAAATTGTGATTATCAAACATCAAAATCAAAAGTGATACAACTAAAAATGAACACCATTTTGAAACACGGAATAACATAACATCTAAAGTATCTTTACCAAAAACACATTTAAATACTCCGTATCTATTAAAGGAAACGGTATACGGAGTATGTCTACTATTCTATAATACTTCAATTTTAGTTGGCATTTATCTTGGATCACATATAAATAAAAGAGAGAATTTCGATTTAAATGGTTGGTAGAATCAGAAAAGGAGTATCTAGTACCACTTTGTAACGGGTCATATGACACATAATTATCCATATAATTAAGATGGGTGGATAAAAATGCACTATTAACAGTTGTGTCTTATTACTTTGATAATCCTTGTATACAAATCTAAATAATTATTGATAAATATAAAGATTTACTTTAGTGTAGAATCAATTAAAGTAAATATTGTACAAGTCACTTTTTGAATAATGCCATCTCAATCCATACTGTCAACCAGCTTTTTATAAGGTTCCGGGCTGCTTCTAAGCCATAGACTAGGATACATCACCTAATTGGACTTTGGCAACGCTTGTGAGCCTAGATGGGATAGGGGAATCAGACTTGATTCAGATAAAATCAATGTCATTCAAAGAGGTGTAACGTCTAAATGGAGTTGGTAGGAGATTTTTTGGAATAATGGTTCCAACTAAACGAATTCCACTTGTTTTAAGCAAGTATCATAATCAAATTTGGGAGATTAGAGGACCGACTATAAGGGATTTTAAATTATTGAGTTAGCATTTAAAGAAAGAGAAAATTTCTTTTTTTTTTTATCATAAAGAGAAAATTTCTAAAACCGGATGCGACACAAACAAAGTGAATGAATAAGTATTTTCTGAAACTGAACCCAATTAAAAGTGAACATTTTTTAATTAATCAATAATAAAAGTCAATTCATAATTAACTTCATTTTTAATAATTAAAATTTATATATTCAGAAACTACATCAAAATCTCTTCATAGTTGCAAATTCCAAATCTTCATTTTTAATAATTAAAATTTACATATTCAGAAACTATATTAAAATCTCTTCATTTTTGCAAATTCCAAATTAGAATATAATTAAAAATTGACCTCCTAATTAAGCAAATGAAGTTTGTTTGACCAAGTAATTTTATACTTTGAAACAATTTCTTTAGAAGAAAATGGAAGCTTACAAACTTTTTAGTGGGAAAAAAGGATAGGAAGAAAGAATGAAAGTGGTAGAGTATTTAATATACCTGGAGAGAATCGCCAACGTTGACGAAGAAGGAAGTGAGATCGGGCGGGACGGAAAGCCAGGTGCCATCTTTGAGAGCGATTTGGAGGCCCGAAGTGTTGTTGGATCGGAGAACAGAAATGATCTGTGGGTCTGTGTGCTCGCCGAACCCAATCATGCGGTCCCTGTCCGTGTCTCCGAAGTCCTCAGGTGGGCTGCAGGCCCGGCCCGGGTAGTGATTCAGCCTGAACACCGAGTCGCTCGCCTCGTCCATCACCAGCCGGCTCAGCGCATCCTTCGCCGATATCTTCAGCCCCTCCGCCATCAGTTCCAGAACCTCACACGCCATTCTCTTCACCGCTCTCACATAATCATTCACCGCCGCCCTGTTTTCATTTTTTTATAATTTATATAAAAGAAATTATCTTAAATGGGACTAAAACATGGTTAAAACTCCAAAATAGGACTTCAAGTTTTAAATTACCTAAATGGGACTCCAGATTACATTTTTACCCCTACCCTAATCCCTGAGTAACCTTCTCCCCAAATCGCTTGCATCGATCGTGAGACCTGCGATTGCAATGGACGCAGCTCGCAGGGAAGAGGAGCATCGACGAAGAGAAGATTCAGCTTCTCCACCACCAGGCCTGCCTATTTCCCGACGATCTGCTTCTTCAAAAACTCCCCGCTGGTTCTGAATCCATGGACGCACAGAAATCTGGGCTTCCTCTCATTCATCCTCCGGCCCTCCTTCTGCGATTACATCGATTTCGACTCATCAGCTGCCATTAACGTAGCTTAACCTCATCATCGCAGTTGTAATTTCTTTCCCAACCGCCGGCCGCCACCTCTTCAACGATTTCTCCAGCGGAATTAGGTATTCTTCCTCCTCCTCTTCTTCTTCTTCCTTTTCTTTTTCTCCCCCTTCTTCTCCTTCTTCCCCTATGTTTTGTTCTTCTTTTAAATTTCAGATTATTTTAGATATTTTAATTCGAAAATGTCATCTTTACTCAAAAAATGACATGTTTTAACAACCGTAAATGTCATCTTTCTATTCCAAAATGACAACATTATTTTAACATTACACTACACAAGATTTCATTTTTCAAAAATTGACATGTTTATTCTTTATATGACATTTAAGGATAGCTTGAAAATGACATTTTTTCCACATGCAAATGACATATTTTAAGAATGAAGCTTAATGTGCATAATGACACAATAATGACAATTTCGTATAGAAACATGACATTCTCAATATGAAATTTTCAAATATTGTAATGACATAAAAGTGACTTTTTTAAAAATACTCTATAATTATGACATTCTCTTATTAAAAAAATGACATTTTCTTAATCATTAATCAGGGCATTTTGAGATTCAAAATAATCAAGATTGATAACAAGAAATTCAAGTTCAGATATATCTTCATTTGAAACTTTCAAAAATTAAAATTTTATTAAAATCTGATTGATAAAGAATTAAATAAAAGCCAGGGTTCTATTTTGTGATTTTGCTGCAGGGAGAGGTCCTGCACTTACGACCGATGGTGGTTGGTCTGATTGGACGGCGGCATCGGTTCTATCGCAATAGTAGCGCAACAGGGTAGACTTTTTTAATTAAGGGTAGTTTTGTCAGATTATATCTTTTTAGTCCTATTTTTGTTAAATAAAACATAGCAGTCCTGTTTTTGCAATTCTACCTAGTTTTAGTCCTATTTAGGTAAATCTCTCTTTATATAAATACGAATAACTATTTCGAGCTTAATACAAATATCAAGCATAAAACATGATTATTGGGGTGTTTGGAACCGATTCTGATTCTGCTTCTTTTTTAAAGCAGAAGCAGAATCAGAATCAGTTTTCAGAAGCTGGTCTCCCTCATCAGCTTCTAAAAAACTGATTCTAAGGGTAAATTAGAGCACCAAAATCACTTCTACACTTTGAAGTAGCCAAAAACACTTTTACATTTTTACTCCAATATCTGTTGTTCCTTGAACAAGTAGAAGAACTTTGAAAAATACATCCAAACGCTTCTATCACATGAAGAAGTACTACGTATTTTCTTAATTTCACTGTCACGGTTTTTAAAATATCTTTTCCCGGCCTTATTGTGCTAGTGTGTTGATATTTACTAAACACTAAATAAAAGGATAACTTGTACCATGCGGAATATCTTTTAGTTAAATGTAGTTAAAATCACTTAATTAAATTATCTATGTCAAAAGTATTATTCATTCCATTTCAAGAGAAACAATTCATAATATTCTCATCTGTTAACTACAACAATAGAATCTTTTCCTTTTTAAACTTTGGTATAGTATCAAATAAATTTTGAGAATAGTTACGGACAATTAGTAAACAATTTAGAATCATCCCTCAAATTATGATATACGAAGTACTACGTAGTACTAGTGTTCAGTGTACTACGCATCATATACCCGTAATGAGGCAGGAAAATGAGGGTATGAAAGTGCAAAAAAAAAAAAAAGCCCGGCCGATAACTCGCCAAGGGCTAGTTTATTACCTCGTACTACTTAAAGTTTTGCACTTCCTATTAATTAGCAATTATTACATATCTTCACGAAATAAAAGTACGGAGTAATTAGCAATTATCAAACTAATTAATAATACGGAGTAGCATATTTAATTCTTTTTAGTTACAAAATTTTGAATGTTCATTATGACATAATTACCTATTGGTAAATATTACAAAAACGTTTTAACATTCTACTCCCTATATTTTACACCCAATCCATCTCATATGGTGAAAGTCGAATAAATAAATAGTTAAATCATTATAGCTTAAAAATAAATCATAAATACACTGTAAATACCTTACAATCATGAAATTGAACACGTGAACCATACGTTTTTAGATGTTTTATCCATCTCACGATTAAAGTCTCCATTTTAACTTTATGGTCTCTACATAGACATTTGATAGTAATTATCTATACATATAAATTAAACCTATATAAACTATAATAAATTAAATTTGAATAATACGTATTAAAATATACTCCGTATAATTCTGTGAGATAAAGTATTACGTGTATTAATTTTGAACAATTAAGAGATGGAAGAAGAATTTAAAAGTTCAATCATTATTAGCCTCGGATATGTTTCAACGAGTATGTGACTATTTTCTTAAAACACGTCAACTTCAAATATCCATATTAGTCAAATACTCAAATGTGTTAGAACTTGACATATTGCGTAACTTTATGCCAAATAATTTATGGTATAAAATAAAATAAAATTGTTTCTATTAAACATATTTAGTCTTTTACATACAGAGCATAAAATTTAAGTCTTACGGAGTACTTTGGTCAAACAAAAAATGTCATAAAAAGTCAAAGTTGACAAACGTACAAGGATCCAGAAAGGAGTATATACTATACTCCGGGTTTAATGCACCAAACCCCCCTGTGATTTGGAAATTCGGCGCATTAGCCCCCTGTAATTTAAAAAATGCGTCAAACCCCCTTGTGTTTTAATTAATCATGCACAGAACCCCCTTTATGAATAAATTTAACGATATGAAAATCACTTTTTCTAATATTTTGATTGAATATGCAAATAAATATGTCAAAATCTCTGAATCATAGAAAAATGTTAATCATTTTTCTTTTATTTGACAATTGAATTTGTTCACATAAGAGATCTGGCGTATGATTAATTAAAACACAGGGGGTTTGACGCATTTTTTAAATCACAGTGGACTAATGTGCCGAATTTCCAAATCACAGAGGGGTTTGGTGCATTAAACCCCTATACTCCGTATAAAACTTACTTGAATTTCTCTGGGGTTAAACCCATAATTGATGAGAACTTTCTGTAATCAAATTCCGGGTTTCTGGTGGATAGCAGAATGTATTCTACGCACCCAATATCCCCATTTCCTCCGATCTTCTTATTCCCATACCCGAACGGGTCCGGCGGCCCGGCCTTTTCTTTCTGGGAGGCCGGGGAGGAGAAGAACTTCACGGCCTCTGCTTCGAGCCTGGTTATGAATTCCGCGGGAACGCCATGGTTGACCACCTTGAAGAACCCGAACTCCTCGCAGGCGTTTACGAGGAGGTGTTTGGCGGCTGCCGGTTTGGAAAGGTCTATGGACGGGACATAGAATGGGGAAGCGGCGGTTTTGAAGGGCTTGGCAATGGAGAGCTGTTGGATGGCGGGGTTGGCTAAGACTACCATGGCCGGTTGCTCAAGAAGCTGGTATAGGCTTTTAAAAGTATTTATTGGAGAAAGGATCGGTTGCTTCGGTGGGTTTTATAGGTGACCGATGAAGGAAGGCGGTTTGCTGTTACCATAATACTTCTCCATTCCCTTTTTAGTTGCAACATTCCCTTTTCACGCTTGTCAATCCATACCATTTACCGTCATTATATTTAATTCTGTATTAGTAAAAAACTTTTTAAAATGAGATTATGAAACTTTGTAATGAGACGAATTTAACAATGTTATTCAAAAATAATAATTCACACACATTAATAAATAAAATGTAGTCAAAGTAGAGTACATGAATAGTGTGTAAATTCCAATGTTTCAACTATTATGATACGGAGGATAGTACTCCGTAATATAATGATAGCGGTTACTTTATCATCAATCACTCCAAAATTGTCTCATAATAAAGTTTGTGTGACTCTAAAACATTAGTAATTTAATTATTCTTATATTATCAATTAATATAAACCACACAATTATAGCACTCCGATCCCATCTGTCTCAATATTAATGGGACCGAGGTAGTAATGTTTTAATATAACTAGGAATTTTTTAAATTTTAATTGATAGTGTATATTTGTCAAAAACAATTGATCTATATATAGTGTCTAGTTTGATATGCTTGACTTCATCGCATACGTTTTAATTTGGTGTGTTGTATAGTGGAAATTGAAATGAATCAAATTAAAACATTCAAATTACTCGACCTTTTATAACTTTATCATATAATTTTATCCGGGATTGTATTCTAAGTCAGGTGACGAATGGTCTGTTGAATTAATAAAGGAGTTTAGTCCCGGTTAAAAAAAAACTTTATCGAAATTGGCTGAAACATGAAAATGTGAAATAGTTAATAAAAAAATTGCTACTTCTGTTTTTGACATGAAAAGAAATGGTGTGATAAATTAAGAAAAGTGAAATTGTGTAGTTGTAACTAAATTGATTAAGTATAAATAAAGTAAAAATGGATTGTAATAATTCAAATATAATCAAATATGGTATGTTGTGTATATGGTTAATATTGAATAGATAAAACCACAATATAATACGGAGTAATAAGTACCGAAGTATTTAGAACCACACAATATTAATTTATCTAATCATTTCGAATAGATTAATTTAGTATGACATAATCTGACGCCGGAGTATTCCGTAATAAGAATAGAAATTGATACTTTTGAAAAAATTGTAAGGGTCTGTTTGCAACAACTTCTACTTTTAAAAAAGTGCTTTTTTAATGAAATGAGTAGAAGCGATTAAATAAAAGTTGATAGTGTTTGAAAAAAATGTGATTTTGAAAAGTAAAAGTGGGTAGTGTTTGGTAAAATGAGTGTTTTTTGTGTAATAGAAAAAGTAAAAGCACTTTTGACGCGGAAGCCGAGAAAAATAAAAGTTGTAGTGTTTGAGAAAATAAGTGCTTTTTTAAAACCAAAAGTTGAGAAGTGCTTTTTTAAAAACAGTTGTAAACAGACCCTAAGAAAGTTTGCACTGTGGGTATGGAAGGAGTACATGTATATATACGCTGGGTACTAGGAAGAGGTCTAGAATAGAGTTGCTACTTTCTAGTTTTGCACACTTGTAAGTCTTGTGCTGACTACCTGTTTAAAAGCACTTTTTTTTCTCTCACGTTTAGGAAATGATGAAAATGCTACTCGTTTTTCTTTCCTTGGTGCTTCGTAACTGTTACTCACCTTTTTAATAAACCTTTTACTATGTAAATTTTGAAATAAGATGGATTAAGTGGGTTTGGTTGGTGTACATAGTTTAGGCGTATTCACGGTTCTAGAAGTCGCTCTGGGCGCCCGACTAGTCCCCGCCCAGACGCTAGACAGTGGTTGGACGCGGGATGCCCCCATTTTTGTCTAAGCGCTTCGACTAATTGGTTTGGCGTCTAGGTGAATTACTCGGCCGCCTATGACGCCTAGTTGCCCGCTCAAAGTGCTTAATCTCTGCCTAGGGCGTCTGGATTCATCAAACAATTTTTTATTTTTTATTTTCTTTTTGTGAGATATATATGTACCTTTAACATTAATCACGAATATGAAGAAAGATACTTGTAAAGTAAGATAAAAACTACTCCGTATATATGTTTGTATATATATACTTAAATTTTATTATTATTATTTAATATTTATAACATAATGTAGTTAAGTGATTAGTTATCATATATTATTTCATGTGACAATTCAATCATTCATGCATGTTAATGTGTGTATATATTTTTCATACATACACAAACATGATACTACCATTTTATTATGTATTACTTATCATATGTATGCAAAAATATTAAGAAAAATACAATTTATGTGCCTCCAATTAGTCCCCGCCTAGGCGCCCGCCTAGCCGCCTAGGTGCTAGGCACTAGACTGGCTCCCAACGAGCGCCTAGCGCCTTTTAGAACCTTGGGGGTATTTAATAAATTTGTTTTAGTTCTCCATATAAGTTACATGAGCTTTTTGTTTACTTTTGTTTACTTTTGTTTCATGTAAAAGCCACCTCAAACATATTACCTCTATATTCAAAAGGTGACCTGTAGATTGAGAGAAGAGTAGAAAAAGAGAGAAGATAAATAAAAAAGTGAATTAAGTAAGAGGAAATAACACATTAGAAAATAAGGTTACAAGTTGACAAAATAGACAAAGGAAACTTTATAAGAAAAAAATAAGGGTGAGATAGTGATAGAGTATATGGACCAGATTAGATTCACGACCCACACAATTTGGACACCTAAACGACCCAAGCCCATCACACTACTTAGGGCCTCTCAAGTCTCAATCAAGTCCAGTCTAGAATGAAGAAATACGCTCTTTGTTCGAACAGTCGTCGCGGTCTCATCACCTGTCACATTGCCCATTATCCTAGACAGATCGTTCAGAAACAAGGACATCAGCAGACCCGGGATGCACACCTACACCTCGGCCAATGTCACCTCAGCCAACAGAGGACACTTAGCCAAACGTCAGTCCGAGAATGACACACGTCAAGTTCTGCTATGCTGCAGGGCTCTCGCCTATAGAATAGTCAACACGTGTAGTGCATTTAATGCACCACCTCATTAATTACTAGTATAAGTACCCTCTTGGTGGCAGTTGTAAAGGGTTCGACTCCCATTAATACATTGCACATTCTTTCTCTAAATTATTAAATCTCTCTTCTCTCTACTATACCACTAGCGGTGTACTGGGAAGCTATCAGATAGTTTATTACTCTTTTGAGGAATGGAGAAAGTTTCATTTAGAACATCTTCAAGAGTCCATTTAATAAATTTATGCATGTGTATCTCGCACGTCACATATGCATCATTCACATATGCTCTTCTTTTTTATAGTGATCTTACCATTCCAATTTCCTCAATGCAAATTGATGACAACAAGACTATTAATAAGGTTATCAATCAGGGATGGACTTTCAATTTTTTTACTATGTATAATATTTTTTTTAAAAATCATAATTTAATAAATAGATTTACATAATGTATCACACAATCGGAGATTTAAAAAAGAAACATCTAAAATAATTTATATAACTTAAACAAATAAGCAATAGAACAACTCATTGTTTAAGACTTAGGATACTTATTATATTGAAATTTCTAGTATATATAGTAATGTTTAATTATCTTTATTAGATAACTAGTACTCAATTTTGTAAAATGTCAAATGATATTAAATATTAGTCACACTAGTTAAACAATTTTTAGATCATGTGAAGTGAATCCAATATATAAATGTTTGTTGACATTAACCGACACACCATTCATTAACTTTTTACTTTCTAAAAACAATTTATTGCATAGATAATAAACTTGAGGGAAAGTTCCCGAAATAGGACTAAAACAGTTTGAAAATTCCAAAATATGACTGACATGTTTTTTATTCCCAAAATAGGAGTAATTACTGCTAAGTTTGGAAAATACTGTCATGTTTGAGTCTAGTACTGCCAAAACATGACAGTAATTAGTCATATTTTGGGAATAAAAACATGGCAGTCCTATTTTGGAATTTTCAAACCTTTTTAGTCCTATTTCGGATAATATTTTTCTAAACTTTAACTTATTTTAGCATTAATACAAATATAATATCCACCACATATACGGAGTATGATAACGGACATTTTTTGGAAGGTTTAAAAAGTTATTTGGAGCACTTCAATACTTTTTTACACTTTAGTGTATCAATACTTCTTTCTAGAGCACTTCAATTATAAAATCAAAGTTATTTTTCCATTGTCTAAACTTGGAATGCAATAGACTTAAATGACGTTATGTATGTAATAATGGAATTTCGCCTCACTACACTAGCGAAAAAAATTCGCCACACTGCACAAGCAGAAAAAATTTGTCCCGCTACACTAGCGAAAATTTCACCCCCAACTCTAATGAAATTCTTTTCGCCCCTTGTCTCGAAATACTAGATCTGTCCTATTATCAATTCTCATTGTATCGAATATTGGAGGGTTATCTACACTGTATCGCGCATCCAAAAGAGTCAATGACAAATCAACAAACCGTGTAGACAAGTATATTTGTGACGAGGATAGCATTCACTTTAATCCTTTTCTAAACATCCTTAAATTTGATGTCATAGGCTCGATTCGTTTATGTTACGTTCTAGTTATCTTTTTCTTTATTGTTTATGCACACGGTAATTCTAAATACAGCCCACTTTTTATTAAATACAGCCCTTAATTTAATTAAATGTCTATGATGTCCCTATTATTGCTACTCCAATGCATCGGCTCTCTCTTTGATTACACAGCAACTTTACTAGCAGTGGCAATGACACCGACAATATTCTCCGATGGTTCTAAAACCATATGTCTTTATTATAGTAATTGTTTAATTATAAAACTCTTTGCAAGTTCTTTATCAAGATTGGACTATATATAAGTTAATAATGTGCACGAAAGACCCATACTTTGTGGCCATATTGGTGGGATTTGGTGCTTATTGTTACTTGGTTAACAGGAAGTTTCATAGCTTGTAATGAAAACA